AGACGGAAGGCGCTGAAAAAGATTGGGTTCCCGCCCGCCCCCCGAGGGGGAGGGAATGAGGGACAACCGCTCGACCCTTGAAGCAGGAATGGGAGAACAAGAAACGCACGAACAGACTTTCGGAGTTCCGCGCGGATGTCTTGGATCCGCGCTGGACCCCCCTCCCCGGCGCGCGGGGGCCCAACGCAGACCCAAGAAACCCGCGGGGACCGTCAGAAGTGTATGTGTATACCGTTCGCTCGTCTTCGAAAGGGCCAGGAGGTAGACGGGGCGGGGAGGAGGGGGAGGGGAACGGGGATGGGCCCGGGATGGGGGATCAGAGGGAGGACTGACGGATGATGGAGAACAAAGGCGAGGTCCACGACGTGTCGTCTGGACGGGGAGGCGGAGGAGAAGGAAGATGAGGAGGAGGCGGAGGAGTAGGAGGAGGAGGTCGATACGGCGTCCTGGAAGAGCCCGCAAGCTGACTGCGCACAACATGACGTTTCAGTCATTGGTTCAATCAACATTTGACAGATGGTTTGGTTACCAATGAAAATCGTGCAGGAAGGGGCAACTGCCTATGGTGAGCGCATCCACCACTGCGATGTGTTACGATGACGAGTTAGATCAAACCTCCAAAAGCTCACCAACAGCGCACGCAAGCGCAAATTCTTTTAGATTCCGCGCAGGTGCAAATACAGCAAATCATTCCCCCATCGGTAAGCGCTGCTACGGCCTCAACGCTTTCCAGAACTAGCGTCACTACGGTCTCAACGCCATGACAACCTATCCTACCCAGAGAACCCCCCCCAGGCGCGAGCGGGGGGAGCAGGGGCCCGAATAAACCCAACCACCCAAACCGAAACAGACAAAAAACTGGGCCCACAGGGGTCGGCGAGAGCGGAATAGCAATGGGGGGCGGCGCCCCCCAAACCCCCGCGGCCGCGCGTCCAGGCTTGCGCCCCGCCTGACCTGCGGCCTCGCCACATGCCCAGAGGCAGGCCTCTGGACCTACTCCGCGAAACCCAACGCTGATCCAGTCTGCAGGGACCGCTTGGCAGCGCGCGGACGCGGTCGCTGCAGTCTCATGGGCCACCAGGGTCCGCTGCCGCCGGCGTCGGGTTGCCGGGGGCTGGGTTGGCTGCCATCTCGGCCAGCGCCCGTGCCATTCCCCTAGCTTCGAGCGTCGCGGTGGCCCACAAGCTCGGATCAACCTCCCGCCGCGCGCGCTCACCCGATAACCCGGGGGGGGCCGCGCGCGCGCGGGCGGACGCGCCTGCATGCTCGCTGCGCGAAGCCCGCGGGCGCGGGCGAACGCGCCCTCGCCTAGATGGCGCGATGTGCCGCCCGCCCAGTTGCCTCCAGAGTCTACGAACTCCATCCAGATGCTGACCCGCGCACGGCCCCGCGCGGAGCCGTCGCGCGCGCGCGCCCTGGCCAGGGACCGTTCCCGGGCGCGCCCTCGCCCGCAGGAACTTGGCCATTGAAATCGCGCGATCGAGCGCGGCGTGCGACGCGCGCCCCTCGATAAAACTATGGAGTGAAAACTGCATTGTCGACGAACCAAATCAACCTGCGCCAGGCGCCCCCAGTTCGCCCCCGAAGCATCGCGGGCCTCCAGTCCGCGAGCGCCGGCAGCTCATGCACGAGCGCCAGGGGGGCCATCGACCCTGCGCGCGCGCGCCGAAAGCGTTGATGCGAAGCGGAACCGCGCTCGACCGCGCCTTCGCAAGTCGCGACTGCATGGCCGCCCTCGTCGAGCCTCTTCAAGGCGCACCCCCAGCTCGAGGTTGAGCAGCGCGGGCTCGAAGGAGCACCAGTGCCCCGCGCGGCGGCCCGTGGCTGTGTCCACGAGCAGGCGCCCCCACGTCGGGGGGCTGCCACGGCCTGCCTGGGCGTCGCTGGCCACGACCGCCAGCGGCCCGCGGGGCACGCGCAGGGGCGCGAGCCGGCGCGGCTGCCCCTGCAGGATCGCGCCGAAGAAGTTGAAACTCCGGCGCAACGCGTTGCTGAGCGACCACGGCGGCACGTCAGCATACCGGCATTGTTTGGGCGAGCCCATGGCCGCCTGGCCCACTCCCTCCCAAAGCGCTGCGGCTGCGGAGCCGAGCATTCAGCGAAGTTTGGGCGCGTCGCCCGGCGGCAGCGAATCGCTCGCGATTGCCGCCTACACCGCCTACACCAGCGCGCCTCGCCCACCAGCTCATCGCGCGGCCAGGACACAACGCGTGGCTCTGCGGCGCCGGCTCGCCACGGGTCGCGTCGCGCGCCGAGAAACAGCCCAGTGGAGGGCATCGGCGGCTGCTTCTTCGGAGCGGCAGGCGCGCTCAGCAGCGCAAACAAATCGTTCGCCGCCGACTGCTGGGCGCCGCGCGCCGCGGCCAGATCGACCGGGCCCCCGCCGCCAACGCAACGCGCGCGCATCATCGCGAGACGCGCCGCGTCGCGGCCTCGAGGAAGTAAGACCAGAACGAAAATTGCCACGCTGAAGGTGCCCAACCGAAGAGCAGCGCCCAGTTGGATTGAGATCTCAAGTCGCCACTCCGTGGGTCTGCAATCGCGACGACGTTCACACGAAAGTCGCTCCCTGTCACGCGCATGCCCCCGCGCGTGCCCCGCAAATCCTCGCCGCCGGACTGCGGCGCCCAGGCGCCGCCACCGCCGGCCCGAGCCGCGCCCGCCGCGCGGCGGAGTGCGCGGGCGCCGACGGCCGTCTGAAGGCGCTGCACATCCCCAGCTGCTCCGAGGGGCACTGCGCACTATGACGGACTCTCTTCGCGTTGTCAATCCAGCGCCGCGCCCCGCTAGGCTGGATACTGACGGGCGCGTGGATGAGCGCCCACTGGCCGCGCCCGAAGCGCGCGCCCATTTCGCGCTCAGAGAGAACGCCCCCCCAGCCAGCGTCGCGCTCCTCAATGCAGCCTCCACGTAGAAAGTCAGCCTCCGCGCTCGGTCTGTCCCGGCGCAATTCGGCGACCAGCTGCTTGGATTCCGATCGCAGCTCATCGACGCGCTGCGGCGCAGTGTATTCTTTCGCCTCGAAATTGCCCGCGCGCTCGATGCGCCTGGTCAGCTAGAAGCCTTAAAAGATGCGCAGGGAGAGCAGGGTCAACCC